GACAATATTTTCAGGGACCGGCATTTAAGGTGTGGCGGAAATAATACAACAAAATAATATGGTATGAGCTGCATGGAAACTGTGGTGTTTTCGAAATATAATAATAAACACAAGGAGCGTCTAATCTGGCCGCAACACTCTCTCTGATCGCTATGGTCATGTTTAATGCCTTCAAAATACGATACAACGCAAATTCAAAGTGCATGACAATGACGACTCACCACAGCCCCGAGCTTGATTTTCTGCAACCAGACGGTCCCATCTCGGGGTAATAGGAGACAATGACACCTCAAGTGTGTCCAGTCTACTTCGTAATTTTGTTTTAGTCGCCGTTGCTGCAGAAAACCCCCTCCTCACACAGGTAGCATGTCGGAAATAGCAACAGTGCTACTGTGGCGATCTCAGAATATTCAGCCATAACTTTAATCCAGTTGTCTCGAACGTACTTTTAAGGCCGCCGTCATTTGCGCTCTCCAGCAGTTTTATTACTCATTTTGCGAGCTCTAGCGTTTTGTTTTTAGCGTAATCGGTCACGTGACGAAGAAGCGCGGCTTGACGTGTGTCAAGCGTGACACAGACGGATGTAACGGAGAATCCGGTAATTTTTCAAAATAAAACATCTTTCGTATTCCGAAATAAATAAAACGGAATTAAGGCAAGTTCTTTCTGTGCGGCCCGGTACCAAATGCCCTGCGGACCGGTACCGGTCCGCGGACCGGCGGTTGGGGACCCCTGTTTTAAAGTACTGCAAAATAAATTCCACACAGAAAGGGCAGAGATTCCAATGCTTGTCATAACTATAACGATAAATGAGCATTTTGAGGTTAAGGATTTGGTTTTGTTTTTAGAGCAGTTTCTCTGAGTTTGAATTTACAGTATTGGTCTAGTATGGTGGTTCGGTTTACACTGAAACGGGCTGTATTTGGCCCACATACTGTAGGTTCAACATCAAACTTACCAACTCCAGTAAATAAGAGAAGGAAGGAAGCAAGGACAACTCTTCTGTTTTTCTTCACCAGCGGATGAGACACCCAACTGCCCAACAAATGAATGTTGTGAGGAACCAACTTGAGTCGCCTGCATGTGTGTACGAGTGTGTGCGTGTGTCTAAGTGTTTCGATCTCACCCGCAACAATGTGCTGAAAGTTGCGTGACGGAACTCAAGGTGCTGAAGGACCACTGAGAGCTGCAGTAAGACAGAGTGGAGGGATCACTGTGGGTGGAAAAAGAGCATGAACACTGTGTCAAACCAGTAAAAGACACACAAACTCACCCAAAAAACAAACAAATAAATAAATAAAATACAGCGGATTCTGAAAGTTCCATTTTCAGAAACGGGCAGATAAAGGATTTACTTGCTTGTTTAATTTTACATTTGATGGGTGGGCAGGCACTCATGAGACCCACCAACTATATTTGTACACAAACAATAAAAAGTCAGTTTGACATGATATGACCTCTTTAAACCTGGAGTTCAGTCTTAGTGAGCTGAAATTCTTGGTTTAATATAACCTGTTTTATATAACCTGGAGTTCAGTCTTAGTGAGCTGAAATTCTTGATGGTTTGGGTATTTTGTCACAGACTTTATTACCGTGAGACACCTCGGTTTTAAATTGTGGAAAACAATGTACAGTAGTCTCTCTCAAATTATATATTTTTTTTATGTTAAAGGTGGTTGTCAAATGGTTGTTTGGCCCCTTTGTGTCCTTGGATGGAATCGCAAACAGTCCAGGAAGGGTGTAACCCACCTCTTGTCCAAAGCCTGTTGGAATAGGCTCAAACTAACCTGTGACTCTAATGAGTACAAGCACGATAGAAAATGGACGAATGGACGAGTTCTCTTTAAGCATTCTAAATCAGAGCGGAATCACTGAAGAACCCGTGTTCAATATATACATGCTACAAAATGAGCCAACCTGATTTTGAAGAAGTTGTTAAAAGAAGAATTGCCATTGTTGGTAAGTGGGTCTTCATTTTCCAAATTCTAGAAAAGATCAGAAAATGATAAAGAAGGTGTGTTTTTGTAAGTGAAAAGTAAGTGTGTGTGTCTTACTTGATACTTCAGGTTACTGTGCTCCGGTGAAGCAAGCAAAACGGGCGAGGGATGAGGCTGAGGTTTGGAGAAAGTCAGAGGCCCGAACGTGAGCTCTGCTTCTCTGTCCTTATCCCGAGAATTCCATCCATCGGCGTCCACGCCAGACATGGCTTCTTCTTCATCGACTTCCAACGCGAAGGCGTCTTCGATAGTGAACTGCGTTGCCATGGTGATCACCTCTTATGCGCTGATTTCTTGTGGTTTGGGGTTCACTGTGGTTGTGGAAAAATAAGAACAGATGCCATCACAAATAATAAGCATGTATGAGCATTACAAATGGCGAAAACTTTTTAAAGCATTTTTTAAGTTGGATTTTTGGACTAAAACGTTCGTAAAAACAACGGGAATTAAAGACTCCTCCTAATTTCCAGTATGATCTAGTTAAGACCAGTTAAATCGTTGTTTATGACTAGAAAACGATGTAATTTGACGCGCTGGGGCAAACAGGAAGGCTTAGCTGCTCTGATCTCAGCCTTTGTTTCCGCTAGTCGATCAGATGACCAAAAGGAAAACTTACTGTCTCCAAACAGGCTCTTTTGGCAGAGGTTCATCTGGACTCCAAAACGTTTGATACAAAGCTCACATAGCTCCGAGATTTCTCCTAACACAAGTAGAAGCTGTTTAGAACGAGATGCTAACGTTTTTGAGAGCGTCAAACGCGTTCCCAAAACTTTCTCCTCTCTCGCTCTTTCCAGTTTCCCCCCCTCATTAGCCGGCTATCGATTGCATATGCCTGATTACGCCCAGTGAATGTCCGGGAGTGATCTCAATGGAGCATCGATTTATCGATTAGACTCCTCGCCTTGTTGACGACTTGTTTAAAGGTACGAGACATTCGCAGCGACAAGATACAGTCTGGCTCGCAGTTCAATGAATTATTTTTGGTCTTGACAACGGACGTGTCTTGGGCGGATGAGTGTTGGCTCCGATGGTAGGAGAAGATGCTGCTCTGACCTGTTAGAACCAAACGTATTGTAAGGGTCAGAAAATATGTGGCTATGGACAAATGGGCAGTATATTGATAAATGTATACAATATGTCATAGTTATACATTATCAACAAATGTACAATATGATTTAGATCAGAGAGGAGCCATTTAAATGACAGAGAGGGCCACAATTATTCACCAGGGGGACATAAAGTGCAGGACTCTCCCTAACCATACTAAGACCAATATGTGAGATTTGTCTTTTTTTTTCTTTTGTTGAACCACTGTATATCACAATATCTGAATATATTTTCTTCTCAAATGCACGAATAATACATCCACTTTTCAACAACAAAGGATGTGAAGCAAGCAAAAAATAACCACATGCTGTGAATTTTTTTACATTCCCAGTGCGAAGGGCTTTTGTGCATACAAAAATGGTACAAAACTGTTGCACCAACAAAAGTGCACATTTTCTCCACAAAGACCAAGTCACTGAAAGATGTTAATATTACACTAGATTTGTCCTTTACTTCTTTATTGCATGGTTTTTCAGACTCGAGTAATTTTTGTTGCACTTATGGTAGAAGGAGCAACTCGGATAAGAATGAATTAAAAACTGCTAGTCAAGTGCATGAACTAAAATATTCAATCAAAACACTTGTTCAGTTTAATTTCTAAATGCAAATGTCCAAGAGCCATTCATCTACAAACTAGCACAAGTGTCTTCTGCATCCAAGTGCAGTTAATAAAAAGCAACGGTGTATTCTGACGATTCAGAAACTTCCCCTTGCAGACCAAAAATAAATAAATAAATAAATAACTCATCCCATCAGTTGGTGTCTGTGGCTGACGTGCGGCGAAATGATTTGTTTTCCAACACATCAAAAGTCTAGCATGTGCAACAAACAAGAAGCTTCAAAGCAATAATGATACATTGGTGCATTGCTTTTACTTTAGTGAAGCAGAGTCAAAGAACCAGGAAAAAGGAGGTCAACAGCTATGGACGTGAGAAGCACAGACTAAGGCCATTTGAGCCTTACCGTGAATTGATGAGATATGAGGTTTGTTTGTGTCCCAAATTATTGAAGAGTTTAATATTTTTGTAAATGGAAAGGATTCAGATTAGTGTTTTTTAAATGAGGCGCTTGCTTGTAGACCTGCTCCACATGTTAAGTGTCTTGAGATAACCTCTCTTGTAAAATTGCAAATAAAATTAACGTGACTTATTGGCCTTTCCTACTGACTATTTTAATTTGCATTCTTCTCCTGTCTCCTCCGTGTTCATGTCTACACAAGACATCCAGACCTTATAATTAGACTTTGGCTGTTGCTGCATTTGGAGGTCAACGTGCGACAGAATCGGCAAGTTTTGTGAGGGCCTTAAATGCACCTTTCGTCAGTTATTAAAAAATGTCAATTTAAAATTTAGGCTGAGCATTTTTTGTATCCAAAAGATAAGGCATTAGAAGGCTTCAACAGCATTTGTGCAACTTCATTTGAGCGGCTAGCTGCTAGCATTTTACGATGAAACAAAATACAATAGGTTCTTGGAACTGTTCTTCAAATTTGGAATAAGACAGAGATTCTTTACACTTGTAGAAATTGTTGAAGATTTTAGCAATCCGAGCTCTAGCTCAACAACTGCATGAAATCAGCATCATACTGAAATAGGTTTACATTATAGCAAAAGATTAGCGGCTGTCATCAGTAGCCTACACTTGTAACAATGACCATAATAAACGTATAATTTTGTGATATCATTATCTCCCTAAGGGTGTAGCTCAAAACTGAGCATTATTATTGTTATAAAGTTAGAATCTGTCAAACATCATTCTCGTCTTGTACAGGAGTCGGTAATGCTGGGACCCACGAGTGCGCTTTTATAAAACCAAATAATGCGATTCTTATGTCGTTATTGAATATTCTCTCTCATAACGAAACTCCAGGCATTTGACGTGAAGGAAGAGCAGGCGGTGAAACGACTTTAGTTTATTTTGAGAAGTAGTGACACAACATTACCACATGATGCCAGTCGTCACACTGTGATTGTGACAGTTCATAAACAACAGACTTGTCCCCCCCACCCTTGCATTATTACCACTCGCAGCGTTTCGGAAGGCAAGCGTCAAACGCAAAATAATATACACAACAATCCTGAATGACAGCCTGCACAAAAGAGCACGCGGATGGCAGGATGGATGACACGAGCTGTCAACACATCGGCACGCTGCACTATACACGATGGTGATTATTGCGAAACATGCAGCTACATTGAAGATCAAATGTGAGCAAAGCATGCAAGAAGGATGGACGTTCTGGCAAAAAAAAATGTATCACAATCATTTCATTTTGGTTTGATAATCTTACTGCTGTCACACTGGGAGCTTTTGATGCATAGAAAAAGAAAAGAATGAGCCGCCACGGTGGCTCAAGCTTTTTTGTCGAAGCCTTCCAAGGCTCTAACTATTTTCATAGTCTTGTTCTTGACAGTTTTTTTTTTTTTTTGGGAAACCAGAGTCCCTTTCCCCATTCGGAACAGTTTTTCTTTCTGTGGTCAACAATGAGACATTCACAAGGTTGTCGAAGGTCTTGACGAATCGATTGGATTGAAAACCTCCCGCAGGACTCTGACTGACTATGGGCGTGCTTTCGTAGAGCAGAGTCTGGTTAGGGCTGTGTTGAAACTCTTAAGTGATAGCCACTAAGGCCGCTCCATATGCAGACACACGTTGCCAGCAAACCAAGATTTTAGCAGGGGATGCTTTTGTTTACAACCAACTTTCACATGCTTTTTTTTTTTTAATTTTACAAATATACTTTGTGTAATCTTTGCCACTCAGTGTATGAAAATAAACCTGATATTCAGTAGTATTATAAAAGGACGTGATCACAGAAATGGACAATAAGTCTTTATGTCGGGAGTGTCCGAGGACACCGAGTATTAAGTTGTAAGCAATGCTATTCCCATAAATCAAGTGACAGCACCCGTTCCCGAATGGATAAATTACTGTATGATAATGGCCTGCAGGAAATAAAAGTTGCATTGTTTATTGATTGATATTGTACACTCGAAGTAACAATGAGAAGCTCACCGCTCAAACATCAATCTTTCTGTACACCGATGAGTATGCAGCACAGTGAACGAACGAAGGCATAAACACTCACTGGACACTTCATTTGGCACAAAATCAAAAGAGAACCAATACAAGAGCTGGATCAAAATGGTGCTCAGCTAATGTGGTGTCGTTAGAGGGCAAAATAACTACACCTCTCGGAGCAGTGTAGTTGCCAACAAACGCGTATTTACAAGTATTGGATGGATGGAGAATACCTTGCTGGCAGTATCACTCAAAAGTGAAGAACACTTTTTCATGCTCGTCTTGTATTGGATCTCATTAGATTCTGCAGGTGTCTCAAAAACTGTTCTATGATTGTGAGTCGATGAGATGACACATGATTGACAGTTTGTCAGTGCGCTTTCCATCCAGTAACGAATGCACATCGCTCGCTATGGCCACTGGAGGAAGAAGAGCTTTTCTCTATTCTTGTGCACTGCTTACATGTCCTTGTTGTTTTTGTGTCAAACACGCATGCGCACACACACGCACGAACACACGCATACATCGACCCACACAGTGTGCTTCTTGAAGTTCAGTTGTGATATTCGCAATGGGGCACGACGTGAAAAGAGATGCTGCAAAAACAAAATCGAGGCACTCAAATTCTCACTGCCTGCTTCACACATATGCACATACAGATGACGATCACAAAGACAATGAAAGACAAATCGTTCAAAACACAGACATGTTAAAGGAACAAATCCACCATATGGATACTTTTGTGCTTTGTATCATAAAAGTAATGATGCCGCGTTACAATATAAGCCAGCATAGCGATGGTGTATTGACACCGTGGGCCTGATTTACTAAAGATTTGCGTGTGTGAAAAGGGCATAAACATGATTGGTCACGCAAACAGATGTGGAAGCCGATCGACTGACGGGCACACCAACGACGCCAAATTCACAACATTGCCATACAGTCATTTCGCTTGTCAGAGGAGTATATGCAATATATGACTTAATAAACCTGAGATGAATTGCGATTTCCACTCGTGTAAACATTTTTAAAATGAAATTATCCTGACATATCGTCTCTTCAGTACTGGAATTTTGAAACCATCATGTAGGGAGCCAGTCACAAGAAGGAGTCATGCCATATCACTTATATCATTTCAGCACAGTGTGACCACAGGTGCTGGTATCTCTCAGGGCAGGTTGCAGGAGTGCTGGCTCAAGCTTCATACACACGATTACACGGGATGGTAATTGAATATTCAATTGCCATGTACTCAGCATGCGTTAAATCAAACAAAACATGGCTTTGATGCGCTTCCCGTGACGAGCACCGCAAACACGTGAAGAAATTATTCTCCCCCTTCAAAATGTTCCATGGTGAAAACCATCTGCACTACCTCAAGCAGAAAACCTTCTATTAAATGGACTACTTTTACACTTGTTGCCAAAAGCATGTCGCTTTCTGTTAAGTTGGTGCACAAGTGCCTTAGCACATGTCGCGTTCTGTTAGAGCGGGTGCACTCGTGCCTTAGCGCCTCCCTATTTGGGATCTTGGTAAATCAGGCCCAAAGAGTCACATGGCCTCACAATGTTGCTGGCCTCGTTCATGGAGTGAATTCTAATCATCTCTTCATTAGTTGAACATTTGAACAAGGACATTCGAGCGACTTCCACAAGGTCTAAATGACAACAATGTGTGTGTATCTCTTTGTAACACCTATGAGGGCAATTTGGTTTACCTTAAAAAAATAAACACCACACCTTTTTAACATCACTGATGTCAGAATGAAGATCATTTACAAATAATCGGTGCTGTTGGCATTATATGATGGATTTCATCTTCATCACTATTACATTATTATTATTATTGCAGTTTTGTTCTTTTCTCTTGTTATCTTTCAGGGGGATGTGCATGTGTGTTTACTGTGTGTCTGGTGTGATTTAGTCCGTTTTGTCGCTGCTCGGGGCTCCTTGCTGTGTGAGCGTATGCCAGTACTCCACTTTTTTCCCTTTGTTTTTGAGACACTCGAACCAGTGTCTGAGTCTCTGTCCGCTCGCGTTGATGCCCAGCTCCACGCCACCTGGAGGCACAGGCCGACAACAGAAGACGGAGTAAGGACGTGAATTGGGTGACGGCCGGGCCCGAGTGAAAGATGTTTGGCTCGGGAATTAGGAGAATAGGCGAAGCTATTGAGCATGATGGGTGGGAGGTGACAAATATGCAGGAAATGAGCCAGGTGATGGAGCAAGAGTCTGCAAGAGAGGCACAGTCATTTGCGACACCGGGGGGGTTATGATACAGCCTTTCCCCCTGGCTGCCATTGCACAGTTAAAGGAGCATAAAATAGCATTATGGTGAGGCTGCCTTTAACGGTGCTGTACAAAATGACAGCCACAAGCAAGCGAGCAAGCATGGTTTGTTGATGAGCGACTTGTCTCAGCTCAGAATTGAACTCTGCCTGCAATGATGGTCCTGGGGTGGGGTGGGGTGGGGGTGGGGGGTGGAAATGCTCTTCCTTTCCTGCATTCGCTTTCTATGTCCCTTTTTCTGTTCACATCGAAGAGACAACGTCCGAAGCTGTTAAGGGGGGGGGGGCTCTATAGAATCGTGGCCTCAAAACATTCCCAACGACTCAGAGTGGAGGTCAACAGACATTCCCTGAGCCCGAGGGCCGCTCGGGACAACTCGGCCGTCGCTTTGACGGTGGATGGCGAGGGAGAGGAACTGCAGAGGAAGAGGAATTGAGTGATGACAAAGTTCAGTTTGACAGCAAAGTAGGAAAGGAGCAGGTGTTCAGCACGCTCACACAGCTTTGCTCCTCACGAACCCTCCTGTGCGCCAAATGTTTACTCGGCTCCGGCAACAGCAACTTCAAAAGCGCCAAGTGTCTGGAAACACTGAGGTAATTCCTTCTCTATGACTTGAATCCCAAATCAATAATTGATTGGATTTCAAGCAGCATAGTGTGCTAGTGGTTCGCGTATCTGCCTCACAGTTTCTGAGGTTCGGAGTTGGAGTCTCGATTCTATTGCCTATAAGTTGAGGTCCCATTGTACTGTATATGCCTTGCGATAGACTGGGGACCAGTTCAAGGCGAACCCAAACTTTCACTCAAAGTCAGCAGCGATCAAAGTGGTGGGCACGTCAGTAAGTCAGTCATCCTTACGTCATTACTTCAAGCTGGTCCAGTCCATAAGTCGTTGTCAACGACAGCCAACCGGCATCAAGAACATAGTCACACGCATGCAAAAAAAAAAAAAAAAAAAAAAAAAACAGACACACGCGTGGTGACTGATGAAATAAAAGCTCAGTGGGACAATGTCATTGTGTTCTGTGGGATTGAAATGTAAAAAAAAACACGGTTTTGCTTTTTTAATTTGTGTCTGGTTGTGGTGCTGCTGCGTATGACGTCATAAGTACGTTCTCAAAGCTGATAGGCTTTCGCTGACGATGACGGACGGACTGGACTGGCCTGAAATAATGACGCAAGGCTGATTGACGGACTGACGTGCCCACCACTAGGTGACAGGCTCCACCCACCCTTAGTCCCACCTGAATCTCGATTATTCACTTTAACCTATCCATTTTGGGAAAATTCGATGCTTCCAACTGGTATGAACAGTTTGTGGAATGTCTCTTCCTGTCCTCCGTGGACAAAGCAAGGTCCCTAAGGACACGCTTGAATGAATTTGATATGGAAGGACCTGGGGGCCTTAAATTCAACACTACGAAACACCTTTGGGATGGACAAGATCAGAGATTCGGAGCGGCAGGTCTTCTAAGCACACAACTGTTCGTTTAATGCATGGGCACACTCCAAACATCTTGTAGAAAGCGTTCCCAGAAGAAGCGAAGCTGTACTAGCAAAGGCGAGATCAAGCCCTGATATTTATTCAAAGGTCACATCCAAAGTGAATCATTCAACTTCAGATTAGATGCTTGGAACTTTTCAAAGACGGAAATGTGGCAGGTAAGCTTGAAACAGCACTCGCCTCTCCCGCCTTGTTAATTATTAACACGTTATTGAAGACGTAACTATTTTGGGACGTGAAACTGTCATCTTTACCGCTCACCATTCTTGATGAGGTTCATGATGATGATGAAGTGGAGGAGGAGGACGAGGGTGATGATGATGGTTTGATGATGGCAGCAGCTTCAAGCATCTCAAACACGTTGGCCTGACATGACACATACAGTATAGGTTCTCTCAAGAAAAAAAAAAAAAAAAGCATGTCCATGGCATCTGCAGGCTTTCCTACGTTGGAGTTGGTGGGTGAGCTGACCCCCCACACCCATATGGGGCTGGGAAGCTCAGTTGGTAGAGCATCAGACTTGAAATCTGAGGGTCCAGGCTTCTCTTCATGCCATCGTTACTTTTTGTGTTGTTTGACTTCTGAGGTAGGCTCAGATATTCATCTGAATACCGGCAAAAGATACGAAAAGCTGATGAAAGGATATAAGAGTACATACTGGTAGGTTGAGCTGTTGCAATGATAGCGCCTTTACAAACCGTAGGTTCACATTTCATACAAGCGTAAAAAAAACCCCAAAAAAACATTTTTAACCAATTTAAATAGTAAAACGTTGAAGCAATGAATTCTTAATTTGAATAATGCAAAGTTGATTCATGCCAAAAAAAAAAGCCAAACAAAAAAAGTTATCCACTGTCAATTGCAAAGGGTCCCCAAAAAAATCAGTTGCACATGAACTTCTATTAACTAATGTGCGCATAATGACTTTAGAATCACGCACAATTGCTTCTTCTCCTCACGTGTTCTTCTTCTAAGACTCCTCGTAGAAGAGATTTTTGAATACTTATTGTAATAAAGACAAAAAAAAGTCAAGTGGTAAAACCTTGGTTGGATGTTATCTTTTAGGTATTTTACTGTCCAATTCAATTTTTAAGCTCACATTTACCAGATTCCAGGGCAGTGAAGCCACTATTACCAGCTATTGCTCTCAGTCGACTGCCACCAGGCTTCTTCATCAACACCTTCTAGTTTTCTTCCCAGAGTCATCTTTCTTCCAGCACCAATTAACCGAAATGAGAGGCTTCTACCACTAACTTGTAATGATGACAGCCTCTGGAACGTTGGTTATCTGGGACTGTTCGAGTAATGGTCTTTTTATCCCAGCGGCAATTAGAACTCATTGTGTGATCTCAACAGTGAGTCCCTCCCACCAACCAGAGCGCTGCGCACACCTGACGTGGCAAAAAGCTCTGATCAGAACATATGGAGCTCACTCTGGGGGGGAGGGCATCTTATTTTCTTGTCCCACCCTTCTGACTTCCGGTCACTCCTGAATCCCCCATGTACTTTATCAACGGGAAGTCCACACCAAACGATTCCAAAAGCTGTTAAGTGGGAGTGACTCTATAAGCATGAACGCGTGAACACTGCAGCGCAGACAAAAAAATAAATTAAAAAAAAGACTTAAGCCTCTTACTTCCTTTGTATGTTCAATCCCTCTTTTTGCAAGCGCAATCAGACTCCTCGTGCATCATAATTAACTCTCGATTGCTAGCACTTTTTATGCATCTTTTTCTAAAATGTGTCTTTTACCTCTCCCTCGCTCTCTCCCTCCACCCACGCTTGGCCTGGTTTTGATATTTGTTCAAATTTGTGCCTTTTTCATTCACTCTTGCACAGCTATCCTCCTAATTGGTACATTCTCCCATCTCTGGTCTGGCCTAGCAAGACACTCCATTGCCAAAAGTATTCGCTCACTGACCTTGAGTTGCATATGTACAAAATTAAGTGACATCCTGTTCTTTATCGGTCAACCCTTTGGCGCTAGACAAGCATCATCACCTCTTATTTTAACTTCAGATATCTGACTTAAGATCTTCTAGGTGTTGTTTTGACTAGTCCAGTTCTTCTCAATTATTTTCTGTTCCACCCCCGAGTTCGCATCCCCCTCCCTCCGAAAGGTTTCCTGTGGCGACATTACTTTGCATATGACACGGATGAGAGAGTTTGGTGTCGATGAACTTGACTGGCCTGCAGAGTCCTTAACGTTACAGGACACCTTTGAGATGACTTGGAGAGGAGCTTGAGAGCCACGACTACTCGTCCAACATAAGTTCCCGTAAGGCTGACACTGCATTGACTGGGAATGGGATGTCACTTGAATTCAATTAAATGTGAGTCATGACATGGACAAATACTTTTGGTAACATTGTGTAGTTTGCTACTTTACCTATGAAGTCGTTGCTCATTCCCAAGTCGTAGTCCCACACTGAGATCTCAAGGGTTTTCTTAGCCAGCAAGTCCAGCGTCACCTCATAAGAAAACTCCTGTGCGCAATAAAAACACAAACACACTGCATCAAATACATCAGGATGATCACACAATAGCAGAGCAAACTTTGTTGTTTTATGATTGTTTTGAATCTGTGTCTATTTGCAATAGTGAAACATGCTGAGCTTTTATTTCAAGGTTTATTTCTCTATCTGATAAAACTCAGAAGATTTGTAACAAAACACCACCAATATTTAGTTGCAAATCACTGACCATCACATTTTCACATTCTTGTTTTGTTTGGTTTTCCAGACTTTCACCATAGCCTCTTAGAGTTGTTGCCTGATTTGAAGAAATTTGAAGTTTTAGACTGGCTGAGTCAATCCAGAGCCTGTTGAGCATTACTTTTACCCGCTAAAGAAGAAGAAGAAGAAGCGGAAGAAGCAGAAGAAGAAGCAGCAGCCTCAAAACAACTGAAAGAGACTTTGGTGAAAGTCTGGCAAAGCCCTACAAACGAAGGAGGCTGCAGTTTGGTGATGGCAACCAAATATTAAGCTAATACGAAGCGATTGGCAACACTCTTCCAATACATGCATGCGCGTGTACCTCGTTGAATTCAGGGTTGAGAGTCTTTTTTTTCACTGATGTCTTATACTTGGACTTTTTCCCCATGTCTGGCTGCAAGATGCTTCAAGGACAAGAAGAAAGATTGTCAAACCTTTGGATGATACAAAACTAAACATTAAAAAAAAAAAAGTCGGACTGATTTGTGGCACTGCATGCAGAAGCCAAATGAAATAATTTATAACGCTTCACTCATTAGTGAACATAATAATCTCACACCATTAGTGACACAGTGGGCTACGAAGACACCTTGATTAAGGGCACCTCAACCATGGATGAATGGGGACAACCTACTGCCTGTGCTACTGCAAGTTGGCCACCACCCCAGTAGACGCTATGCCACATTTAATCTTTGCATGAATCATCTACTTGTACTTTAATAAACACCCCACAGATGCCTGTCATCTTCTTGAGAAAAAACAAAACAAAACAGATGTTACCTGCAATGACCTTGGCTAATACCACCATGTGTCATATCAAACATCTCTAGCACAGCACACTCAAGCTTGAACAACCGACAACAAACCTTAGGTTCACCCAAAAAGTTGTTTTGTTTTGATTTTAAGAAAGTGCTGCTGTGCGAAGCTGAAGATTCTGGCGCAAAATATGCTGAACATTTCCACAATGACCTGAAATGACTTAAAGCTTTAGAAACACAAAACCAAGTGAGAATGAAAAATAAACTTCGATCCACCATATGGAGATATACAGGCTCTATTGAGATGAAGGGAATTGAAATGATGACCCTTTTAGTTCATGTGTAGGCTTTTTTACCACCTGTCCACAGAGGGTGATTTGAGCCTTTAATTAGCTGGTTTTGGTCGATAGCTTCTGTCACTTTTGGAAAAGGCCAGCCATGTACTTTCTCCTCGGATTTCTAGTGTGTGCAGAAAGCAGCAAAATGGCTGACCTTCACGTCATCGCTACATCTCAAACTTCAATCAGGTGAACTTTCACCATGCAATCAAACAATTTTTGTGGAACTAAATGGTCCGTTTGAATACAAGGGCTCCTTAAAATATATGGTACCCACACTTTTTTTTATTTTGCAATGGAAGTCATTAATCCATCCACTTTTTATCTCTTTCCCCCATTTGACAATAAACCTTGCTGAATGTAACTAAATGGAGAAAGCACGTTTCCAATAACTCTTTGGAAGATAATTGTGACCTCGAAGTCCTTTGGACAAAGAAACACAAGCCGCAGCGAGATTCTAATCATGCCGAGGTTGGGGGAGTTTTTATGCTCCAGTAAAGAGGCACCAGACGGTTTGCCAGAGGGCAGTGGGAGTCATCTGTGTAAATTCTGAGTCAAGCTTTTCAGGTGGCGCGGTAGCTCCCTCCTTCAGCAACATCTCACAGCCACCCCTGCCAGAGACTGACAGCTGATGCATTGCAAGGACTCGCGGCTGCCACTGCGGCACCGGGATCAGAGGTGGTGCAAAAAAGTGATTCATCATACGCTTGTGTCAGCAATGAAAAGGAAAGCAGGTATCGGAAACAATTTTCTTCTCAATCCTTCTGTTTGATGAGCGAGAGGCAGACTAATCAAATAAGCAATTGAAAGGAAGCACAGTAGGCCATAAGTTGCCTCAATATAACTGAACTGTCCTTTGAAATGACAAACTTTGTGTGCAAGAAAAATATTGTGAAAAGTAATTTGAGGAAGGCAGCCAAAGACCAGCGGCAATTGAGCTGGTGAGGCTGAAGCTTCGGGAGGAGGCGCCGTGTGTGTGTGTGTGTGTGTGTGTGTGTGTGTGTGTGTGTGTGTGTGTTACTCTGTGCCAAATCTCATTTTGCATGGGCTCCAATGCAGCGCAGATGGGGGAATTCCAATTTCCCATTGTATCAAACATATGAATGCGATTGACAATAGCAATACCTCATCCAAAACCATTTTACACAACTGCAATCAAACTATACTTGAATTCAATGTGCAAAATATTTCAGAACAGAGGAGGCTGGTCCATTGAGATAGGAAGGATTACTCCCTCACTTTTTAAAGAGATGTGAATTGGTCCAATGCAGGGATCTCCTGGAACTAACAAGACATTTCTGCTCATTTTTACACTGAATACACTCCACTGAAAGAAAAGCTTAACTGTGACTCGCGGCTGTTATTCGTACTCATGCATGTTGTGCTTGACATTTTTCCCCTTAATGAATAGTTGGTAGATGCAAACTATAAAAGAAAAGTGACCCATCCATCCATCCATCCATCCATCCATCCATCCATCCATCCATCCATCCATTATCCGAGCAGCTCATCCCCACGAGGGTCGGTGGGAGGAAACCAGAGTAACCATGTAGGCACGGGGAGAACATGCAAACTCCATTCAAGAAGGCCTGGGCTTGGAATCGAATCCAGTAAGGCGAGCCTGCTAGCGAGTTGACCACCGTGCTGCCCAGAAAAGCCACCAATGTTGAAAAAAAGAATGTCATTAGAAACAATATAGAAAACTATAACATCACATTTATTTCTGCCCCCATTTTAATGATCTGAATGCAAAAATCTGAGCCTTTTTTTTTTTTTTTTTTACAAAGAAGGCCTATTTCTATCAAATCTTGTTCACAAATCTGTGCGAGAGAGTCTCACTTATTTGCCGAAATAATCCGATAATTGTATTATATTGGGAGGGGGTCAGGGGGCACGTGGAGGAAAAAACAGTCTGTATGTGGTGGGACCATCATTTGCCGCCTGTAGCCCAACTTTATTAGGTTGTTGATTGTGGTCTGTGAATGACTGAGGAAATTTTGGGCTTTTGATGAAAAATGGGTTGGATGTGTGTGGATGAGCTTTGATATTGCGGGCGCATCGTATACATATCTGATATATATTCACACACGAAAGAGACCCAGGTCGAATTTGAAAAAGAAATCTGAATTGTACTGGTCATGAAAAAAAAAATCAGGTACACAAAAAAATCTGAACCGATCTGTTGTGTGACCATAGCCTTCTACTGCCCGATACTACAACATGAGAAGGCCTCATATTTTGTTGCCGATTTGGAATGACATGCAGGACAAAAATAGAACCTCAAGAACAATAATATTTTGAGCAAGTTGTTTTTAAATTTTTTTTTTTTTTTTTTTAACAAATGAGTTCTTGCGCTTTATGTTGGGTCGTTGTTCAGTAGTTTTGTGTCATCCTTGAATGGTAATTTTTATGTAAGAGATCTCTTTGCACTGGTATAAAAAAATAAAATAAAATAAAACTCACAGTATGTGGTTAGGTTTTGCTCCTTCAAATCCTTTGTTGTTGAAAGCTGAATCTTTTCACATGTATTCAAAAATGAAAGACGGTATATTAAGACACTATGACGTTCACTGGTTCAATAAAGAAAAAAAAAACCCAGACATATTGACCTATTTTGCCCATATTTAAAATGGCATTTTTGTCTTACATCTGGTGAGTGAGTGCGTGGTCTTGGTAGCGCTGATGAAAAGTTGTGGCCCCATCCATCACTTAGGGTGCATTTTTCCTCTCTGATCATGAAAAATGGGAGCAAAAACAAAAGTCTTATGTTTATATTTCTTCAGCAACAATTTGTCCTCTCTTAATATAAATAAGTACGATTATTCTTACAAGCCTTCTATGACATACTCTGGCTGCAAAAGATTCATTTTGTGTATAAATAAATGAATAAATACAGATACGTCTGTTGGCTGCCAGAGTCCTCATACACTTGTATAACATAGGTTCATGTAATTGTATGCCTCTGAGGCTGATGGAAAAAAAAAAAGCTCGGTTCATACTTTGTAAATGTAAGTGATATACAGAAACAAAACTAATCTATTTTATATTACAATATATCGAAATACAATTAGTATATCATAGACCGCTACATATTCTAGATTACAAACCATTTTCATAAACTGCAGCAGCTATCCAATAGCAGTTATTTTCAAGTCAAACTACTCAATTTTAAAATCCACAAGTACACACACACACACACACACACACACACACACACACACACACACACACACACACACACACACACACACACACACAGTCTGAGAGGCATGAGATTGGCAGATGTTTCAAGCAGAAGGGACATGGACTTGGTTCCTGGCGTTTAGTCTGAAATGTGTCCCCGAAAGGAGACTTAGTCACGACGCAGTCACGAAACACACATACGCACAAACACGCACACAATTGACACAAGAACAGTCTTCTGGATGCAAACGGATGATTTAAAAGAGCAAGTAAGGTGAAGAAGGTTGTTTTTGATGATGAAGGACAATACAAGAGTGAATAAAGGGAATGATAGGGCAATACGAAAGACTTTAATAAAAGGGAAATCAAGAGCGAGATGAAATTTCTGTGCACTTTTCTGCATTCGGCGTTTAATGCAAATGGGTAGGATGAAGTAGAATGTAAAAGCGCGGTCACTAATCAATGCTTGAGGGCGAAAAAAAATGTATATCAGAGAAAGTGTGTGGTCTGTCGCATTTTGCAGACACCTCAGCTCTCCTCCATTCACTGCCTTTCATCAAGTACCGTAATGCTTTATGAAAAGCCTTCATTGTGTTGTTCCTTCAGTGACTCATGCCGCATCCAGGATGTTTACAGCCATCTGTGCGCCAGTAATGGTCAACACTTCAACTCCAATGAGAGAAAACAGAAGTTTGTCTCCACTACTGTGTAGACAAATTGTGTATCCGCATTCTCTGTCTGGTTATGGCCACCCGAACGAGAACCTCTGCAAAAGCTGAACCTATGCTGATTTTGTGTGAGATTTGGCAGAAAATAACAATTCCGTTCTATCAAATTCTATCTATCAAACAATGAGACTTGACATATGGCGGAGATGATAATGCAGATTTTTGATTGGCACTGTCACAGAGGTATTCATTTATAAATGAGTTCATTATTGCGAGAGTAAATTACTGCGGTGCAGGACAGCACTGCATCATACCGAGAGCTACTGTGCTTTGGCACCTGAGCTTGAATGAATATAAATCGTTCCCAAATGTACACTCATCGGAGAAAGAGACTTGGAAGGGGAAAAAATAGGACAAGAAATTAAGTTATGTCATTTAAGAAAAGAAACAAGAAAAAAAAAGGGAAGAAATTAGAAATGAAAATGAAGAATTGAACAAAACTTTTCAAAATTGGCTCTGGTCATTGCACTAAAATACATTTTGGCTTTGTGGTTCAGGATTTTTTTGGAACAAGAAAAAGCAACGCTTTTGCTTGGCATCAAATGAAAATTTTTGTTTGCACTGAATCATAAAGAGAACGTGAGACCAAAATAAACTCGGCTGAAATTCAAGTAATTACAGTTTGTCTTAAGTGTATAGATTTATTTTTTTTGTGTGAGTGGCTTATTTTTTTTCACTTCGTATTTCAAGCTTTTCTTATGTCATGATGACAAGTGATCAGTAGTGAGCCCATGTTTTGACCCCAATGCGGACGCCGTGTCATGTTGTGCATATGCTGCAACAGGAACATTTAAGAGTTTACATATGCAAATAAAGAGAGGAACCAAGCTTTATTCCGAAAAAAAAAAAAAAAAAAAAAACAACACTGGTGTGACTCACATTTTGACAAAGGGGTCAGAGTAGCCATTGGAGTCCATGGCGGCCAGATGGGCGCAGCGTATGATCCCAACCAGCAGGCAGCCCTTCTCCGTGTTGTAGCACAGTGACACCAGGATGCGTCCACGCTGCCCACAGAGAACACACGCCCTTTTACAAAAAATGAACACGCGCAGCGGGAGGGGCACTGGGAGGGAAAAGTACTATTGCAGTATTTAAGCTTTTCAGCATGAAGCACGTGCTGTGTGAAACTGGACATTGTAGTGAAAGCCTTTGTCTGGGTTTAGGAACAAGCTCTATTCCCCCCTAGAGACCAAAAGCTATTCACTTGTACCTCTAAAATCACAAGAAGGGTTTTGATAACAACCAGTGGAGAACCACAGCGGACTGACAAATCGCAACAATTGAGTATGCCCTATGAGGTGCCCACTGTTTCCCTGGGATGCATTTTATTCCCCGTGGGATATTGCGCAGCGAAATGACAAGAGCCAGCTGCAGAAACAGTAAGTGAGATGAAAAGATAAAACTGGTACCTCCTCCTCTGCCACGAGCGCTCCCTGCTCCACGGCTTGATTGTTCGATTCTTTGTTCTGGAACCAAAGAAACATGAACATGGAGTGATGCGAGAAAGATCATGAAACAATACTGCTCAGTCAAAGGCATCTCGGCTGTTGGCTGCACAACACAAAGAAAGAGAAAATGAAATATGCACCAGGTAGCAAATGAAATCTCTGTTGGATCCATTGACTGGGGTCAAATAATAGAGTGATTATGGATGAATGAAAGATAAATGGATAATTTTACGATTTCGCTTGTACACTGTGCGATGACAGTAAAGATTCCAATTTTAAACATGGCAAGGACACAATATTATACATCTCAGTAAAATTGACATGGTCCATAGAAATCTAGAATTTGTTACTATGACAGCAACACATACACAGTCTGGTGTACTGTAGGCTGAGAGTGTTTGTACCTGTGCAATTCTCTCCAAGCCCATATTGTAACGTTTGTTGTCACCCTCTCTGAGCTTCTTCAGGGCCACCCTCACCTCACCGATGAATTCATTTCGCCCAAGTCTGTCCATGTCACATACACACAGCCTACACGACATGAACACAAACAAGACACGTTAGTCCAAGGATAAACCAAAAAAAAAAAAAAAGTATTCGGTGAGCACGATTAATCAAGATATTACAGTACACACAAGTTCCACGAAACTTGATAGTGGTGCGAACTAAAATGAACCATCTGGGAAAATAAAGACATCTTTTTTTTTTTTTTTTGAAAGAAGAATGCTCCTATATTGCAAATTTAATGTTTATTGATCAACGGACCTTGGGAAAATTGACTTTCCGGACCAACTGTCTTATTTGAAGTCTTCTGGTGATCAGTTTACAGTTTTCTTTAAAAGCCATCTAAGTTCCAAGAGTAAATTGTTTTTGGTTTCACAGGTTTACTACTTTAATAAGTACAGTTGAGATCATCCCAATACATTGGGGAATGTAGAATCACAATCTGGTCTAATGACAATGGCGGTTCCAGGTACGTACTGTAAAGAATGTGGGATCACATTGATGTAATTCTCTAAAACAGGTTCAGCATAGAATTTATAGTGTATGTTCTTATCTTAGGGTTACAAGACAAACGTTTGTGAAGAGGCACAGACTTTGTCCTCCCGTTACGAAATCGACAACCCTGTGTCGGCCAGTAAATGGTTTGACAGACTAAGTTTGACGAGGCTCTGATTGTCATATTTATTCATCGTCTTGAAGGTATTTTGGAACTCTTATTAAAACTTTTTAGGAATTGTATCAAGAAAAAAAAAACGGCGTGCCGTGGCAAACTGAGGCTAATGTGGGGCTAGTATCCATTCTGTGTATTAAGTCGCTACTTAGCCAGTGTCATTTGTTATGAGTTGTAAATCCGTCGAGCTGGTTCATAGAGAACTTTATTCACCAAGGACTCTTTCATGCTGGTGGAGGCGACTCTTTTATATTCTTTCGGATATCCTTTCTCCTGTACTCATGGAAAAAAACACACACACACCTTCCCCTTCAACACTTTCTGTCCCCTTGGATGTTTGGCAGTGAAGCTCTGTAAGACCCAGAATAACTCTGACTCATCAGCATGCATTTCTGGTGGTTGATATGCATTAGCTTCATCGCATATGTGTGCTCGTATGAGGTGGTGATGAGATGAAGGCTGTGGTGAAATGTCACCCCAGTTACGGGCAAAGCGCCTCCACTGAAAATCCTTGCACCCTCTCCCCCACGTTTCCTCTAAAAGCTCAACAGATGCTCCCGAAGAAATAGGATTTCATGTCATCAACATCACCTTCAAAAACAACCGCCGACAAATTGCAAAGTTGTGATCATACCCAACCGTCTGACATGAAGTTGGAGCTTTTCATGCTTTTGCACAGCCAGTTCATGGTTGTCAGAGAAAAAGTGATTTTTCTCCCTCTATTCCTGCACAAACAGTCTGTATCTTTAAAAGACTGCAGCAATAACGGCCACGTGTTGCTGTTCTTTTCATCATCATTATCATCAGCAACATCCATCCATCCATTTCCACTCTTGGGTCATCCAGCTGATGAGGCTGGGAACGCCCTGGGCTGGTTGGCAGTACACATACAGTATTGACAAGCCATCATTCCCATACCTATGGACAGAGATTGGAATGCAGAACCTCTTGACACTGTGCTGCTTTTCATCAATATTAAAAGTGAAACTTTCCATTGTTTCTTGCTTCTATATTTATTTCCTATGCGGCACAACTCGGTGCCGATGCTGAGTTCCAATAAATATGAAGGGTTATAGTCAGGAAGATTCAAGCTTTGAGATTCAAGCGGTGACTTTGTCAAAGGCACAGTAAAAACAAAATGGAGGCACTGAGCGCTAGCTGGATACGCGTACAAAAAAGATAATTCGACTAAATAAAAGTGATTTCTACCATTTTAATTGACCCTTGTGGACACATCCTTAGGTTCACATAACCGCATGTCGAAAACAGCAGTAACAATGAACAGCTTGGATTCAAACCCTCATTCTCAGATCGGGAGGCAAGTACGCTAACTGTTTACCCTAACTTCCAAGTAAGCTTTGTCCCATTCCATCCATAGATGTTGATGAGCCAAAAGCCTATTTTTGCCGTAATTTGGCGCGGTACACGAAAGGAATTCAAATTCGAAAAGATTGTTTATCTGGTACATGCCACACACATGAAGATGAATCGGAATAGTTTTGTTAGTACTGTGTGTGGTGTGCTCCGATAATCTCAACGCAGACAAATCACAAAAGGATTCGGTTCGACGACCAAACTCAAAAGTTCTCCCGAGCCAGGAATCTCGCATATTCACACGTGACCTTAAACAAAATGAAGCACTTTCACTATTAGATATGTTCACTACCGGATATGTTGCCGACTCTGACAACATCATTCGACCATAGGTGTCCTTTTGTCTGATATGTGTGAGTGCTACTTGGATGACTTTGTTGACAGCATTGTCAGTTCTGATGATAAGCCGCAGGGGGTCCAGTATCCGGGACTCCCTTCTAATTGTATGTCATGACTACTTTTTTCTTGGGGAGTGGTACTACGGTGTTGGATATGGAACAGGTTCGCAGAGATGAGTGAACGGTTGGACAGGTTAAAAAATGTCTGTTAACACCTCCGCCAGCGCAAAATAGCAAACCGTCAAAACCCATCCGGGGATGTTATCAGGACATGTTGCTTTTCACAGGTAATTCTTCCACAGACAGAACTTCACACACCTCGGTTGACGATACAAGGGGGGGCGGGGGCTTTGTGCTGCTTCTGTCGGTACAATCTCTGTCAGAGTCGAGTGGGTCAAAATGGGCGTACAACTCTTTCCGTTCATCTGGCGGTGTGTTGTTGTTGCTGCTGGTCGTGATGGTGTTTCTCCTCTATCAGAGGCCAAATTCACCCTCGGACTGAATCCAATACGAGATTAAGTATTAAATTTGACTTTATCTTCTCATGGCAGCGGACAGTACGAGTCTATTAGAAAGTCTGACGGGGGAGATAGAATAAGAGGAAAATAAAAATGAGGAAAATAGCAAGAGAAAGGCCAAACACACACACATGCACGCACGCACGCACACACGCACGCACGCACGCACACAAGCACAAAGAAACACACGCGCATGATGTCTTCATGAAAGCACCTTCACATCTCCCTTCTGTTAACTGGCCTCCTGATGGACATTTTAGCGATGAAATCCAAATAGGAGGCCCATAATTCACCTGCAGTATGCATCAATGTGCAGTTCACAGCCAGTTTCTTGCGCAATGGGATGAATAAAAATTGCTGTGAGGGGAACTATTTCCACTCCTCATTATCACTGTCACAATTGTCTAGGATACCTCGGTGCAGAGGCAGACTACAGTGACTGGTAGAGATTGAATGGTATTTGGATGTGATCTTGAATAATGTCTTCCCCAAAAAATATATTTTTTAAAAATCACTGTGCTTCATACTAAGGTGCCGAAGCAGGACAATACATTCACGAGAAAAAAAGACATTTCAATTGAGCTGAATTTGATGAGAAATAAACACAAATATGTCAATGATTCAAACAGACCAAACTGCGAATGTGGGGGGGTGGGGGGTGATTTATTTCATCTCTGTCACTTTGTCTAACTTTTCAATCAAGATCTGAGCACCTCGGGCAGCCCTCGTGCATCAATTAAAGGATTAAAGCTGGTGGGAGGCCAGCCGTGAAGTCTTCACTGAGGACATTAATTAGGTTATTCTGCTGGTTCATCCTTAAAAACCGGCAGGACCTCTCTGCCAACTTTCAATTTTACATCAGTTGTAATGCACTAGGCTATTTAAAGTAGATAGATGTGGATATTTGCCATCACTTACAGTTCAGTATATGAATAAAATCAAATAAAATCATTTATTTTGAAAAACACATGGGCTTGCATTTGTGCGTCTGCAAAAATGACCAACTCCTGGTCTAACACGCAATTGGGTTCTGTCTCTTTGCAGTTTCGCCCAGCTAGACTAGTTAATGATTGGAGGGTCTGCACCACCGGCACGTTCCTTGGAGAGTGTTTGGCTCATGTGGCGTGCGGATCAAACAGAACAGCGTCCCCTCATCGCAAACTCAGCAGAGATCAGCCAAGTAGAATGTTGCAGGGCACAAGCCGGTGAGTCAACGTCTCGCTGGAGATGAAACTCTGTTTTGCCGTTCCCGAACACTGCTTTGCTTTGCGTGAAATAATGAGAGCAAACTATTTATTGGCTGGGCTGCGGTGCTGGCATACAAACAAAACGAGAGAGATTTTGAGATGAGATCTCTCTTTTTGTCACTCACCTCCCCTTCATTGATGTGAGCTTTTTCATTAAACTCATTTGCAGCCTGCTTCTACGTGTCCCTGTTCCTTTTGTTTGTTGGCTCCCCATTCACTTAGGGCAGGGCTTCGCAATTACTTTCTGTTACACCACCTCCTTGGAAGAAGAAAACATTTTGCGATCGCCCCTCCCACAACTCTCTCTCCCGACTATAAATAGTATCGCTTGACTAGAAAATCATTCAAAGTACAGCTCTGTAAAACAATTTTCCTTATTAACATTAAATAAAAAGGGAGGAATTGCAATAAAGAATACCTAACGTTGTTTTTAGTCTGTAAAGAAATATTTACAGTGCATGGATTTGCCTGAAATTTATTACATTGCTATTTAACGATCAACATTCTCTAATTGAACCGTACAATACTGAAAAATCAAATTTAATAAACCCAAGAAACACTAATGAATTAAAATTGATCAGCAACATTCCACCGAGAACATAATATTGAAAACATTTCACCCTACAAAAATAAGACAAAATAATTTATGCAGATTTTTGCAACTCAATTGCTACAATGGGCACATTTTGCAGTGCACTGCTTTTCGAAGACAACTCTCAGCTCCTGCTCGGAGCGAATACTGACAATGGGAGCGCCACTGTCTCCTAGTACAGTAATAGTAGTAGTAGTAGTAGTAGTGCAATTACACACTTATCTAGTATTCCTTGTGTGTTCTGCATACTCTGCCAATAAAGATGATTCTGATTCTGAAAAGAAAAAAAAAACATGTTCCTTGGCATCACAAATGCCCCCATTTGAGTCATATCACACTCTCCCATTTGAGAAGTACTGACTTGGGGGCATATTCTTCCATGTGCTTAAGTCAAGACGTGTGCTGCTGCACACTTTTTTTAACGGCACAGATTCTCCCTTAGGTTTCAGTCAGAAGCTTGGACATGAGAATTAACCATGCCTTGAAAGTGTGGGGAAAAAAAGGCATGCAAGGAATTGACTTCAACACAAACGGGAGAATATGTCGCTTACTCCTCACTTACATCAATCCCACTACTCTCTCCAAGGCAGATTCTCTGCATTGACCCCGTCATCTTCCTCCGTCTTAGCATCCCAAGTTTCTTCTTCAGCAAGCCCGTATCTGCCACTTGCCATCAGTCACACTGCACCCCGCCCCACCCCGCTCACTTTGTTCATGTCTGGAACCACCCCCCCCTCTCTCTCTCTCTCTCTCTCTCTCTCTCTCTCTCTCTCTCTTCACCCCACGCATGACAAGCGGACATACTCCTCCTCCCCCTCCTCTCTTTGGCTAGCCAGCACCACCATGCTGTTTGTGTCTCCGTCCTTGGATAGAGGTCAGACGCGTTTTCTCTAGTTTGAGGGATGTCATGCGCGGTGATGCATTTGAGGAAGCTGAATAAACGGTGTTTTTGTCTGTGGGAGATGAGCTTTGTCTGGGGTGTGTGTATTTTGTCTAGATCCCGAGGAGCCAAACAATGCAGTCCTTCCACCAGTTGCCCTTGACATACACATAGGAGGACACACAAACACATGGACACACCCGACTAGCTGCATTTGTGTGTTCGGGGGAGATAAATGCAGTGAGCGTTTCTGTGTGTCTGCTTGTATTTCCTCGGGATAAACAAAGTCACCCAACACTCTTACGAATCCACAGAGACACTCATTGCATGCAGCATATACACTCCCTGTCGCAAAGTCTCTGAATCATCTTACAGGACAACAAAAGCATATTTCTATTATTGGGTCAAGATGGCACCGTTTGACCTCGGCCACTCCATATGGAGACAATCTCCGCACAGCCGACACCTGAGGAGTAGTAGCAAGTGGGGCAGTCGGCTGCAATAATAAATGACCTGGAAAAGCCCCTAGGAAAGCGCATGGGCTGCACTGTTGGCAGTTTGTAGGGAATCTCACCCTCCTGCGTGGAAAACGTCACCCGTCCACCTGGCTTAACGCCGCCAATTGCAAGTGAGTGACGTTTCAAGCCGAGAGCCTACCTGAGTGTTTTGGTGGTCATGTCAGCCGCTGTGATTCCGTGATACACCAGTGTCTCATTCCACACTGGGTTCAGTGTGTTCTTCAGAGTCTTTGTGCGGAGTTTGTTTGCCTGTAGAGGGAAATATATTTGAGCAATATTCATGTGAAGAGGATGAGAGCGATGTGTAAAGGACTAAGTGGCGAATTCGTCAGATCAGAGAAAAAGAAGGACAAGGGATTGGAAAAAAAAAAAAAAAAATGACCGCAAGGGAATAATTTATCTCGGCCCCTGAGGAGATCTCGGACATCTGTTGAGCGAGCGTGAGAGGCCGCGAGGCCTCCCTCTCCTCACCTGTCCATCTGTCTCCCTTGCAATGTAATGATGCACAGCATCGACACCAGGAGACGTTTAAAGTGTGCAACACAATCAGAATGAAAATGTAAAGCTTTTCGGGAAGTGAATTGCGTGCGGGCTCCTAATGGCTGCCCCATCTCCTCGCTTGCTGCCTCATTTCCTACCGTTGCCTTCGGGATATTTCAGGATTTGACTGCGGAGTTTATGTCAATAACACAGCAAAATATGTTTTCGGGGACTCGTTGTTGTCTGCCATTTTCCAACTCACTAATCATGTAAAATGAAATTATTTGTAGAAACTTGGCGTGTTTCATAATGAGGATTCACAAGGATTTTCTTCACTTTCACAGTTCACATTTGATCCTCATCACTTACGGCGTTCTTCACTTTATATTTGGCACGTCTATGTGTGCCCTGCGACTGGCTGGCAACATTGCAAAGTACAACCCATCAAATGCTCAGAAGCTTTCACATATAAACGAAAAATCAATTTCCGGATTTAAGACAGCCAGGCGTCATCAAGACAACGATACCGTATATCCAGCACACATATTTGTTGTGTTACAACACTGAATCATATTTACAATTTCATATGTACCATGGATGAAATAGTGATATAGTGGTTTTGTAAGCGGCACGCAAAGCGCAGCGCCAGCGCTCATTCATTCTAGAGAGCTCACTTTCATTCATTTGGCCCCCTTCTGAGTCAATGGCTCATCATCCTCACTGCAGCGTCTTAAGCCCTCCAGCAGCCACTCAAAGTCGCCATCTCTGAGGTGGGGGGGGCCACGGTCAGTCGGGCCGGGTGAGTGACACCTCGCATTCAAGTGAATGGGACCTGGCAAGCAAGTGCTGGCGTGTGCTCACGAATCTCTTTTTTTTTTTTTTGTCGTCATTAATCATCAAAAATGAAATACATCCATTAGTTCATGTGAATTTGTAAATATGGTTCGGTGTTGTTGCCAAACACTATGATATTTATTGTATATACTGTATTTTTGTGACTTTTGCGACGGATGGCACGCGGTTCTTCTAAAATCAGGAAATAGGCGCACGCGGCGAAGCTCCTTGCTGCATCAGTGTCGGCCAATCTGATCGCACAGACGACACAGCCTCGCTCAGCCCCAGATGGCTTTAGAAACACCTCTGAGATGGTTCTGAAGAGCGGGTCCATTGGAACTGCTCAGCCCCGAAAAAGTCTAATGGAAAAGCGAACACCCATGTCCAAGCGAGGCCATCTCGGTGTGAAGCGGGGCTAATGAAAAAGCACTTTCTGTCTCCCAGCCGGCATGGGAACGGCTTGGGATGCTCCCAGAAGAGCTGGACGGATTGTCTGGGGAAAGAGAATTGAGCACTTCCCTGCTAAAGCTCCTACTCCCACCAACCTGACCCCAGATAAGCAGAAGACAATGAATGAATGGATAGATGGATGTGTCAATGAATTTGATATCCTCCACGGCCTGAGATGATTTTGAATGAATAAAAATGTCAAAATGTGAAATTCACTGTTTTGTCCTCAACCATTCCAATGCTTTGACTAATGTTTTTGTTTCTTTTGCCGTCGTACTTCTTCAGCATCATTACTGAGGTACTTTAAGCAGGTACTCTATGAAGGGAAGTTGGAACTGTGGCATCGTGACAACACGAGTCCCTAAACCTGTCAATATTCTCAGAAAGACCAACTGACATGTTAACCTATCAAGGCGAAAGCCCAAAATGGTGCCCTGTGATTGTTGGAACAATACTTAAATCAATTTCTAAATGGTAAGTATCAATGCATTTAAGTCAGTACAATGGCGTCTCATACGTCACGAGGGGTATATGACCACTCTCTGCAGCTGCGACAAAAAGTTACAATGCTCTTCCATCACTTTCTCCTGCTCATGTCAGTGGCTCCGAAGATAAACACCCCATCTTTCATGCCATCGTCCTCTTAGTCTGTTGGGAGAGCCTCAGGACACAAAGCTTTTTCCTCTCCATCTCTCTTTCTGTCCCCACAGCCACGGACCAGGGACCCATATTCCCTCATTGCTGTCCCTCCAAAGAAGAAGTGCACGCACGCATGGCATTCGGACGCTGAATGAAAGTGTGGCTTAACTTTGACTTTGTTCAACTAAATAAGCAGTCACCTCAATGCAACTCTTGCAATAAGATTATGGGATATCGTGTACCGTAGACCATAAGGATCAAACACCTTCAGACGGATACATGATATCGAAAGGACTCGTTGGCTCCGACTCTCTCAGCGTCGGATTTCATGACCAGATATTTTGAATGGCATTTTCTTGATCGTTGTTTTATTTCATTTTTTATCCTTAGCAAATGTAACTGTTATTCATTTTGTCCTTACTCAGTGTTTTTATTTTTAAAAAGTAAAAAAAAAAAATCAAGAAACAATAATCGACTAATATGAAATACTTGGATCCTGATACACTTGTCAACCATATGGTACAGCCCGAGTTGTGCTTTTTTTAAAACTGTCATAAGTATTTTTTTGTCCATATCACCACTTCTTGCTACAAGCAAGTTCCCACTCCTTTTTCTCCGTGCTTTTATCATCAGCCGTCTTTGAAAACTTTGTTTTCTAATGTTTTATCTTCATCCTCCATCTGTCCATTTACATTTGTCTTCAGTTTCTTCCATCTGTCTGTTTACATCCATCGTCTACTGATTGCATTTTTCTCCTTCGATTAGTCTTTCCTAGCCATGTGGATTAAAAAAAAAAAACAAAAACAACAAGAAAAAACGGTTGGCTGGGTTTTGACACATTGTCAATAGGATTTGTGGATGTGAAAAAGTGGGTTGGAGACAGAAAAAAAAGTTTTTTCAGAATCACATCTCATCAGCATGAACCGCGAGGAGCTGAACTGTACTGACTGGCGGAAACATGGCAAAAAAAAAAAAGACTTCTCAATTTGACAAAACACAGATGGAGAATGTCTTTCACAAACCTGCCCAATTTGAAATATTGAAGAAAATCACCAAGTATATCACATGCTCTGAAACCTCATCTCACTCAACTGTCAATGTCAAACAATGACTACAGACTGGAAAAAAAAGGATGCTACTTTGTCTAGCAACTTTAAATGTGCCTACGAGTTTATGCCTGCACAGCCAGAATCCAATTCTGAGCCAGAAAACCCTGACCTGCCTCAAAATCAAACTCCATCCTCTCCGTCTGCGGCAGAAAGGTATTATTTATCACACACAATTATAATTTAGAGACATACATTAGTCTAGCATCACCTAACGTTCCCCATTAAACGCTGGGCTATCAGTTATCAGAGCAAACATATTTTGTTACTTATTTAACTCATTCAATCCCAACCATTTCCACTGGAGCAACCCCCTCAATCCCAGCGTTTTACTGGATTTTTACTGATTCTGCAAGGCCCACAGAATATTTGGTTCTAATGCTATATAAACATGGAGCCTACCAAAATCAAGTTTGGACTCCCTTCTTTCAGAAGAAAAACATTTTTTGTTTCTATCTTTTTCCATTTTTCAGCAACCGGCATTACAAAATGGCTAATTTTCATGAAAATGGCGATTCCTGGGCAAAAAACAGAGAAAAAGAGCTTTTTGTAAAAGCATGCATTTCAAGCACGCGAGGCACCACTGCCAACCACTGGTCGCTTTTTTACATGATTAAAATGCAAACGGCTTATTCTCATTCACAGATTGCATCAGACCCTCCTCCTCTCTATGACGCAAAAAAAAAAAGACTGAGACGTACAAGTACGTCCTTGGTAGGCGGGGCCTGATTTTAAAAAGACATACAAGTACGTCTTGTGGAATGAAAGAGTTAAATTCTGATATTGCGTAGAGGGGGAACTCCTGCTGGTCGTCCAACTGCATCATCACTGGGAGGCCGGCCCCAAAAATTCAGGAACACGGAAAAGATGAAAGCGATATCTGAATCTCTGTGTTTCTGTGACCGCACTTGAAAGCATGCTGCGTTAGCTTGAAGAACATATGCTGAGTGACGAGAGTGAAATACACCGTGAGGTGGAACATGTGCACTTCCGTTCTCGCTAAACTCCATACTTCTCATGCATCGAACTAAACGTAGGCGTGAGTAGGCGAGAGTGCCCATCATACTCACTTCAGCGTGTGTTCGCTCCCACTTGTCAAGTGACGTGGCCCCCGTCTGGTGGATGTTTAACTAATGACGGGCCATGAGTACTTACCTCGTCATTGACGCATTCCCCGCGTACCGCCCACCCACCGCTCTACTCCCATCAACACCCGCCTGTTGACGTGAGCCTTGTAACAATGCTCCCTGTTTCCATGACAACCACCTGCTGCTGCCCTCCCTTTATGTGTGTCCCCCCCCCCCCTCCCGTATCCCTTCTCTAACTCTCCCCTTAGCCTCCCTCTCACTTCTCGCCTCTCTGAGTTGGTATTTCAAGGTCAAAGAAGGTCACAGGGATATGGTGAGACATAGACGGTGACGGCAGTGGGAAGCGAGCGGCGAGACTAAGAACAATGCGGGAGTAGACAACGGAGAGGCCTGGAGGACAAAGATGCCTTGTGATGGTTGGCCACTCTATGTCTCACCAGAGTTGTCTCATTCGACCTATGGTGGCTCAACATGCCCAGCCTCTTTTATCACAGCATCACTTCATAGCCAACTTGAGCTAAAATGGCCAAGAAAGGGTTTTCAAAAACACAGGGCTGCAAGTTGTGGCATGCCTTATCTTCCCACCAGCTTGAGCTGGAGACAAAACAAGAGCGCTGCAGCCGAGCAGAACATGTTTGTGCTCGATAAAGCGGCGTATTGAACAAGGCGCAATAAGAGCCCACCGCAAAGCTCCCTGCTTAGCGGCTCGAGACACCGCGCTAAATTAGCCCGCTGCCGTGTGACACGTTGGCAAAAGCGTTTTCAGGAAAGACGGAACAGATTTGTCAAAGTCAAACAACACGCTTGTGTCATGTTTTTTTTTTTTGTTTGTTTGTGTGATGCGCAACTGCACTTTGTGTTGTGTGTTAATAGCCACTGAGGTGAGGTTGGAGCCGTGACCTTGCTTGCCCCAGGAAGAAGATGAAGCTTGACATATGGATCAGCCAGCCCATTGGAGTCCATGGCTTTCAGTCCCTGTGAAAACACACACACACACACACACACACACACACACACACACACACACACACACACACACACACACACACACACACACACACACACACACAGACACGGTACTGTACTGAAGTGTCGGATGTGACGTCATCATGCCCTCAAACATTACACACAAACAACAGGGTCAGAAAAGACAGCAAACATCACAATAGTGCTGCTGGGTGTTTCTATTCCGTGCCACTGTTTCTGACTCCCCTCCACTCGATTGTGCTGTCCTCTAGGGACTTATTCAAAGGGATTTACATAATTAAACTCGTGTGACACTTTACAGTATATGAGGCCCGTGTCCTCGTTACATAGCTATGGAGCATTGTTTTTTTTTTTTTAAGGAGAATGTCTAGCACACATCAAAGTTTGCGGTTGGTTACCTTAGCCTTGTGAATGGTGCAATGAAGACAGTTATTCTCCTGATCAAAGAGCAGGGTGAACTCCAACATCCCCAAATAGGCTGGAAGCAACAAAGACGACACCAATTACTGGCGGGACTCAACCGCACAGTCACCCTCAAAAGCTTTGACTCACAAAAACACGAAGCTGCTAAATAAGAATTGACCCGTCTTGTAGCTTGCTGTTTGGGAAAAGAGCAGAAAGAAACTCCAACTATTGCAGCTTTGCACTGCAGGGATGTATGTAAAACGTTTTTCTCCAAATTACGCTGTGAGCACATGTTTTCTTCTCCGGAGGATAAAAAGGTCTTGCGTCGAAAACGATGACTCTTCATTTTCAAGTTTTAGCGCTAACAGTGTTCTTTTTCTGCTGCAATGCTTTTTCATTTCCATATAAATGAACAAACACCAACACAAACTCTTCAGAAACTCACTGTCATCATCATCGGAGTCAGCTACTTCCTCCCTGTCCCCACTGTTGTCCCCCCGCCTCTCGCCATCTTTAAAGCCTCCGCCCATCTCCCCGTTGAAAGTCTCCTCCTTCAGGATCTTCTTCTCCCGTGGAGGTGGCGGCGTGCAAGGGTAGTCGTGGAAACGTGGGAAGAAGTCCGAGATCTGCGGGATAGGGAGGATGGGGCCCGGGCACACGTTGATGGCAAAGTGTTCCTGCATAGAAATCTTGACAGGTGAGGGCGGCGGTGGGGCCGAGGGGGAGGAGGCGGATGAAGAGGGTGTGGAAGTAGAGGAAGGAGGGATGGTGAGGTGGGAGGCGGAAGGGGGTGGCGGTGGTTTGGAGACGCTCATGTGGGCTGCTGAACGGGACTGGAAAAAAGAAAAAAAAAAGACAAGTGAGTAGACAGGAACGAGAGGCTCAGCCCTCGAGGGGACAAACAAAACAACACGCCGTCTTCCTCCTGAGCTCCCAACTTTTCACAGTTACCGACTTTGTAGGACACGACACACTGCGTTTAAATTCACATCACATCTTACACACCCAGAAGGGGGGGAAAAAAGAGGGAAATATGTTTCGGTTTTCATCTGTGGATGCAATTCTGAGCTCTCAAATGCCAAAACAGAACTTGCCACGACGTTTGCCACATCAAGTGTGACTCACACTTTGTGTCGGCGCACCAAATCTGTGCTTTGAATGAATATTCCAATGTATCACTGTAATGTCTGAGCATGTGATGTCACATCACTCTCCAACATTTCTCTCTCCCTTGCCCTCCTCTCGCTTGTCGACGCCTCCCCTCAGCAATATTTACATAATTCCGCTCAGAGTCTAACTGAGTCATTAACATGTTTACCTCTAAATGAAGCATAATAACTGCAAACAAACTCTCGACTCCATTTACCAAAGTCCAACCTTTCTTACTTTGTTAGTCACATCAATTAAAGCATTTTTTCATGCTTTCGTCTATTTGATAAAATGTTGCATTTACTATTCAAGTTTCTGGACTGCTCTTAGTAAAATGTTTAACTCCCACTTGTAAAACAGATGTGGGCTGACAAGCAAATATTTCCAGGACGATGACATATTACTTATCTGCTGTGACTATTGAGACAAGTTTTAATCCATTCGATCTCTTTTTTGTTTTTTTTGGGGGGTTTTTTGTGACATAAAATCACCGATATGTTCAACATATGGGATGTACACCCTTCTGACCCTGAACGCATTGCCAGATTGTATGGTGTGATGAGTCACTAAAAGCAAATGACGGTCACAGAGTCTTAATAATGATCGGTAAGTGAAATAATGGTAACCAGGCCGGGACACAATGAGGCATTTCCTGACATTTGTGTCCGCAGCTAGCACGCCGAAATCCTGACTGTTCATACTGTTCTCTGACCCTGGCCCTCACAGCGACCATGAAGTCAAAGTAAAATATGGTACTTTTATTTTGAAAGTGATGCTTTTATTTTATTTGCATACATGAGGAGGATGCCAAACTTAACCACGTTTTCTCGACAATCATCGACTTTTCCAACTCCTCTAGCAACTATTTTCCCAAAAAGAGAAAAATGACAACAGTGGTCTGAATGTTATCATCATTTTTATTTTGTGCACGGTGGAGGGAAGAGGCCCAAAATTTGGCCTGAAAATACTCAATATGCAAAATTACAGTTTCATATACTGTAAGTATTGGCTGTATTGTAAGTCATCAGTGTATCATTACACATCACTGACAATAACATTATACTTTATGCTTATCTAAATATTTGGAACTCCTGACTGGAAACGGCTGATATGAGTTGGCAGTTGGTGCACAAAATTAATAAAAAAAAAAACCAAAACATCTCAGTGTCAAGATGACATTTAAAAGACCCCTTTTAATTGGGCTTAAAATGTGTTTTTTTTGTGATTAGAACTACATAATGCGGCAACACACGCAGCAATGGACTGAAACATGACAATATGCGCTTTTTTTTCTAAATTTATTAAAAAATAATGTTGTCTTTGAGATGTCCAGCTATCTTATTGTGTTTTAATTCTGGTCAGTCATTGAAAAAGTTCAGAAAAAGAAAAAGCGACAAAGTAGGCTTGGCCCTCAGCAAACATTCCAGCTCCTCATTTGGCTCCTTGGCCAAATTAATTGTCGACCCCTCATTTATGGAAATATGCTCTCCCTTCAAGCAGTTCATGTTCACTTCTCTATGCAGACATGTAAAAAGACACACTAGAGTGTTTATACTCATTGCAGATGAAAAGCATCGGTGTAATTTTCCTAAACTAAATGTGCTGTGTGGAAGAAGGAGACATATTCATCGTCACAAATTGCCAGAAATGCAAGTCCCGTTTTTTGGAACGAGAGCAATTTCCTGCGCCTATAAATTGAATCCTTCTGTCATTTACAATCTTTGGGGCTGTTTGTCAATATTTAGCATATTTATCAAGCTTTACAAGACTAATTTTTATCCAAAATAGAACAACAACTCACACTGCATACTCGTAAATGACTGGAATGTGATATCATTCAACAAGCTTTCCCTCTTGAGGATGTTTGTAACTTAAATCTAGTTTATATCTTCCACGCTTTGAAAAAAAAAAAAAACATTTCATAAATTCATCAACACAGAAAGAGGCACACTATTTTGTGTCCATCTTGTGATCTCACGTGTTATGATCACATAAAATGTTATCATGTCGCCAGGGTTAAACATCTCTGAAACAGGTCTGAAAATCTCTGTGACAGTCCATGGGCCAGACCAGCGACTATAAATGCAATCCATCCCAGTGGGTACAATTATCATTTTAGATTTTTAATCCCTACAGATAAAAAAAAACAAAAAACCTTTGACTCTAATTGCAAATTACTTAGAACAATGTTCATCACCTAACTGTGTTTAGCAAGTCAATGGTTAGGATTTCTGAATTGCTTACCTTTGTATTCACTGTAAATTGGGAAGCATTTAAAGTGACTTTACTACAACAGTCAATATAATCGTGCCTCCATTCTCTGTAAGTGTTTTTTTAAAGGTGAAAAGTGACATTTACAAATACACAAAGGGGGAAAATGTTTCATTTTTTGGTGCACATGATTAAAATTTGGTTAATTGACACAGTGCCCCCCCCCCCATAATAATCAAGTGATGTATTAGTTGAACACATTTTGATCACATGCGACCGATGTACAAATGAAGTAAATATAAAGGACTTTTTTTCACTGTGCTAACAATCGGTGTTGGTATATCCCAAGTGTGACATACATCTTCAAATGATTCTCAGAAATCTTCAACTGATTCTGTTGCAAGCCTCTTTGTGACAGTCCGATACGAACGCCACAACTTAGTTGTACCGTCAGATTTTAAACAGCGCACTCCTCACTTTAACAAATCCAAACACACATGTACAGTAAATCCAACTTAAAATCCTACACCAACACGAGGAGCCCATCATCCAATTTCATTACCTCCACTCATTCAGTGATTTCACACTGCGTTTATGTAACCGACAGCCCTACATCACTGCTTGCTTATTACAATGACATCAATGAGCACTTGCAAACATGGTGCTCACAAAACTCATTCGCCCGGAGCCTCAGACATACGCAGAGGCACATGCACGGACACAGACAGCCACCAAATACATACCCAGGGCAGTCTTCATCTGTGCCAGCACCCCATCTTAACTGCACTCACGCGTGCCTCTCTCTCACACACAATGAGGAGCATGAAGACCAGCTTTGAGTCAATATGCGCCCCTCTCTCTCTGGCTCTCTGTACATGGCTTGCTCTCCTCTTCTGCTCCGCACCCCCCAACCCCCCGCCCTCTACCCCTTTTCCTTATTTGTGACGTGTCGACTTAAAATCCTCATCAGTCGAGAGCAGACACTACTGTCATACACTGTGCACTCAGTTGGAGAGAGTGTGTGTGTGTGAGAGAGAGAGCGAGAGAGACAGAAAGAGAGAGAGAGAGAGAGAGAGAGAGAAGAGGAGAGAGAGAGAGAGTGAGAGAGAGAGAGAGAGAGAGAGAGAGAGAGAGAGAGAGAGAGAGAAAGCGTTTGTGTGCGATCCTGACAGTCGGACCAACAGGCAGAAGTAGATTAGGTGGATGATGAGGCGAGTACGCGCGCTCGTGCACGCTGGCATCAACGGCACAACCATACACAGTCAAACAAATGTGGCGGTTTTGGAGGGAGACGCCCATGGCAACACAAAAAGGCAAGGATGGGAGAATTCACTCCGTCGAAGGAACGGAAATTAAATTCAACACGTTGACTGGCTTGAACACAATAAACTGTGTGTGTACGTGTGTGCGTGTGAGTGTGTGTGTGTGTGTGTGTGTGTGTGTGTGTGTGTGTGTCTGAGTAGCAGGAAACATCAGTCTTCGTAATAAAGTGCGCCAAATCCAACCCCTAAACTATGGCAAGCATTTATTCCATATCCTTGATATCAGACATTCATGCCTTTCATACAGTATGTGGAATTAAATACTCAAATGGTTTGCCATACTGAACAGTAACAATGCACTAGAATGGGGGGGGGGGGGGGGAAGCGCCCCAAAATTAAGCGCTCCAAAATTAAGGGTTAAGAGAAAGAAACATCGAGATTTTTAAAGCGTACAATACATATCAGAAGACGCTGAAAGACTCTTTAAAAAAATATGGAAATTCAGACTGGTATGAAGGTGTTCAAAGCACACAACCCCCAACTTCGAAGCCTCGGCGCAGTTACGCAACCCCCTCTTTTCATGTCACATCTCTCGCGGAAAGCATGACGTGTTTTTTTTTTTTTTTTTTTTGCAATCCCCCTCTGAGATCACATAAATAAAATAATATTCTGTAGCACAACTCTCAGTATGGAAGCGTCACATTTTAATGATGCATGGCAGACAAATTTCCAGTCAAACGGTAACTAAATCTTTCTTAATACTTGTGACAAACTAGCATACACGTGAATTGAGAGTGACTGGTTATCTGTGGTTTGGCCAAAAATTTTCAATGGGGTGGCCAAGGTGACACAACACCCCAGCGAGAGATGGCAGAGCATGTGTGCTGGCATCATTGTTTATCATAAAATCCACAGTCATGGTTTCATTAGATCAAATTCAAACATAGCCAGAAGAATGCACATCACACTCGAAATCAAACAGGAACAAGTCTAAATAAAAAGCAGGTTTTGCTGAGCTTAATGTACTAGATGATGCCATTTTCTTTGCCGTTGCTTTGCTTTATTGGAGTTGCTCATAGGCCACATTCACACTGCAGGTTGTGATGCCCAATTTGGAGTTTTTTTCTTAAACCTGATTGTTTTATGTACTCATTCACGTTATATAACAAATGTGAGTTCTAATCCGTGATGTGACATGCGTGCGCACAAAG